TCTTTCCCCGCCCCGCTTTCCCCCCCCCCCCCCGGCAGCTGCTCTCTTGAGAGGACGCTCCAAACTGGAGCTCTCCCCTCCGCCCTCGCTCAGTGTTTCGGAAAGCCACACAGCCGAAGAGCCGGCTCCGACGCTTTCTGCCGAACCCGGAGGCAGGGCTGGTTTTTTCCCCCCGCTGGGCACCATCTCCCCCCCCCACACCCAATGGGCGGAAGGGAAGCAGACGCCACCCTGGCTCGCCCACCTTCCCTGCGACTTTTGCCAGGGCTGTGTTGAATCTCCAGCGACGGATGGCTTTGTGGGAGATCGTGGTGGTTGTGGTTGTGTATGTGTATCTGTCCGCCCCCCCCCCCAGGAAGTGAGGTGTCTCTGTTTTCCCAGTGTCTCTCTGGACCATCTGTTTCTCTCTCTCCCCCCCCAATTTCCTGCCACCCTTCTCCTCGTCATCTCTCCAGAAACCCTTCCCATCAATTCTTGGCTCCTTTTCCTCGCTTGGCTTCGGAGACTCTTGAGAGAAGAACCTCGCTGGCCCGCCGCGTCTGTGTTTTGCTTTCACACATCCCGGAGACAGTCTTTGTGTTGGTTCAACACGGGGAGGCAGATGAGAGGGGTGGGTTGGGGGGGTCCCTCCAGGCTTCCGTTTCTGGGCTGCGCAGCCACAGGTGTTGCTATTATTATTATTATTACTTCACTCCTTCGGCTATTTTTTTTGGTTCTATTTATATCACGGCTTTTTCCCCCAGCCAGCTCAAGGGGACGCGCACGGCTCGCCGCTTGCTTTTCCCGCTTGATCGTCCTCCACAGCCCTGCGAGGTTGATCAGGCTGAGGGGCGATGTATCCTTCCTTTCAGTAGATTCCGTTGCCAAGAGGGATTTGAACTCGGGTCTCATGAGCCCTGTGCGGAGACTAGAACCTGTTCCACACCACACGGGCTCTCTTCTGTTATTCAAATCCACACACACACACACACACAGAGGAGAGAAGATCTTGCTCCAGAAGGGTGGTTTGCTCTTTGCAAACAAGCCCCAGTTGCCTCCTTCCCACTTTCATTAAACCACAATGGGCACAAGGCTCACGTCAGCAACCCTAACCCCTCCCTCTGCCTCCCCCCTCCGTCTTTTCAGAGCAAGTGCGTGAAATACTGGCCCGACGAACATGCCCTCAAGGAATACGGAGTGATGAGGGTCCGGAACGTCAAAGAGAGCGCCGCTCACGATTACACCTTGCGAGAACTGAAGCTTTCTAAGGTCGGGCAGGTACGTTCCACGGCCCGCAGATCCTGGCCACGGTGCCCGTGTGCGGAGACCGCAGGCCGACTCCCCTCCTCTTGGCGTGCGCCGACCTGTCAACCGGGTGGCGGGTGCGGGGGTTGGAGGCAGCTGCCGGGGCCTTGAAAGGAAGCCCTTGGGCCGGCTGCCTCTTGAGGATGATGAGGGTGGCGGCTGGTGCAGGGAAGGAGTCCCCTCCCCGATCGGGACTTGATGGCATAGCCCGGACAGATGGGTCCGGGTGGCGAGGACGAGGCTGAGTCGCAACAGAAGCGAGGCGCTTTTGAGAAGTTACAGCCCTGAAACGCTGGCCTTCTGCGGGCAAGGAAGTCTCTCAGCCTTGCGTCTCTTCCAGGGCAACACGGAGCGGACGGTCTGGCAGTACCATTTCCGAACCTGGCCGGACCACGGAGTCCCCAGCGACCCCGGGGGCGTGCTCGACTTCTTGGAGGAGGTTCACCACAAGCAGGAGAGCATCCCGGACTCGGGCCCAGTGGTGGTCCATTGCAGGTACCGTCCTGGCCCAACCCGGCCTTTCCTCTCGAGGGCTCCCTCGGTACTGGGTCACCAAAAAGGGCTCAGATACTCACACGGCGCCCGTTTGTTCTCTCTCTCCCTCGGCAGCGCTGGCATCGGCCGGACCGGGACCTTCATCGTGATCGATATTCTCATCGACATCATCCGGGAGAAAGGTGGGACCCCTGACGTTTCTGCCAGAGGTGGGGCTGCGTGCAGAAGACGCACCCAACTTATGAGGTTGATTTCTTTGCTGGCTGTGGGTTCTGGGAGATGTAGTCCAAGACACACACTAGTTAGAGTAGAGGGGGAAGCGGCCGGCTGTTGTGAGAAACAGTGCCGGACTGGGCGGGCCATCGGCTTCCCTCCCATGAATGGTATGGTTTTGAAATGATCCGGTGGGAGGATTGTGGGCTTTGTCATTGGACGTTGCTTCCATTCTGCCCATTCCGCGTTCCTGGGTAGGGATGCTGGCTGTTGGTTTATCCCTTCCCTTTGTGTCTCGCCTTTCTGTTTCCGGAATGAGCCAGAAGCTCTCTAGGGCTTCTCTCTCTGCCCCGCCACCCCCCCGTCACGCGACGTATTTTTCCCCTCCCCAGGAGTCGACTGCGATATCGACGTCCCGAAGACCATCCAGATGGTTCGGTCCCAGCGGTCTGGAATGGTGCAGACGGAGGCCCAGTACCGCTTCATCTACATGGCGGTGCAGCATTACATCGAGACCTTACAGCGCCGGATTGAGGAGGAGCAGGTACGGCGGCGCCTCCGGGACGTCGAAGCAGAGGCTGTCCGGTGGAGCGTCAGAGCCCCCCCTTGCCTCCTTTTCAGTCCCAGCTCTGGCTTTAACTGCCAAGAAGCCCCTCTGTAGAAAAACACTCTCAAGCGCAGCCTCGAAACAAGCTTGCCCAAGTTACTAGCCCTCAATAAATTTCACTCTCTTCCTTTGTTGGTTATCCTTGACCAAGAAGGGAGAAAAGGGTAGCAAAGGCTAGATGGATTAAAACACGTGTCCCGTCGCTTGCTGCAAAACAGAGAGCGCTCTGTTTCAGGCAAAGCAGAGAAGGGAAATACAGCCCCGTTGTGGACTCGCCACTTGGCATGCGGAGGTGTTTTAGCTGCTTCTCCAGACGGGTTAAAGTCTCCATCACCCGTAGCCAACCGGTTGGCTTTTGTGGTGGGATCGTGGGTCATAGAATCGTAGAATAGAGGCGTTGGAAGGGGCCTCTTAAGGCCATCAAGTCCAACCCCCTGCTCAAGGCAGGAGGAAGCATCCACGGGCCAAGAGAGGGAATGGCCCCCGAGGGGAACAGGCGAGATTGCCCTCTCCTCCGTCCGCCTAGCGACGGTCTCCTGCCAGCCCAGACAGCCCACTGTTACCGACCCCTCCTCTGGTGAGCTCAGGGTCCGTGTTCATGGGTCTCCTTCTCTCCAGCCTCTCAGGATGCTCTAGGAGGTAAGAAGCCAGGCAGAGAGAGAGATACTAACCCAGGGCCATCCACGGGGTTGAAAGGCGGAGCACTTGAACACAGATCTCCCACCGCCACTACCTAGAGCTCTGAAAACTGATCCGGTGGAGAAAGGAAGCCCTCGGGCCCCTCACCAGGGCCCTGACATTTCTGAGCATCTTAGGAAGGCTGGCTGCCGTTCTCGGTGGGGCTGATGGACTTTGTTCCTCTGTGACGTGAAGACCAGCCGGACAGAGCCGTTTGGCAGACAAGGAGGTCCCTGCACGAAGTGTGTTTGTTTTCCCCCCGTTTCCCCCACAATGTGCTTTCTCTCTTCCAGAAGAGCAAGAGAAAAGGACACGAGTACACCAACATTAAGTACTCGTTAGCGGATCAGGCCAGCGGAGACCAGAGCCCCCTCCCGCCATGTACTCCCACCCCAACCTGTCCGGAGTGAGTACCTCGGAGCGCCTGCGGTCCTGATCCCCCCCCTCCCCTTTGTCCTCGGACTCCGCTCGGAGGAGAAAACAATCTGCTCAAAGGAAAGCTTCTTTTACCTCTTCTGCCTATTGTAGTACGACCTCCAGATCCGTGGTTTCATTTATCCCCATGCTATTCTTAAGTAGAGACCCCACTGTATCCCCTTGCTGAAAATATTAAAAATCCCAGAAACACATATTTCCACCATGTAGTTAGCCGGATCTGGCCACCCAAGGGAGGATCCTGTGTACAGTGTTGGCTATTTGCAGGTTTTCGGCATCCACGGGGGAAGTGGGGTTTGGGGACCGATCTCAGGAATTAAGGCTCCTTCTACTGTATATATGTCGGACTACAGCTCCCATAATCCCATCGGCCCTGTGAGGCTGTGTTGGTTTAAATGAGCCTTGGAATGTGTTTACTCCAAAACTTGCCCGTCTTTCTTGACCCAGGAAGAAAGCCAACGTAAAAAGAACCCGTTGTTTCATAATTCAGCGCAAAGCTCGGATCTCCCAACGGAAACCATTGCCAGTCCAGCCAGAGACCCCTTTCTGCGTCCCCTGGTTTGTCCCCCATTTATTTTCCCCACAACCTTTTAACACCCTTGCCTCCTCTTTGACAGGATGAGAGAAGATAACGCCATGAGGGTTTACGAGAACGTCGGCCTGATGCACCAGCAGAAAAGCTTCAGATGAGGTGCCGTGGGGGACGCTTGGCCGGTGGGGGGAGGGAGGTCTGCCTGCAATGACATCGGGGTCCCTGGGTTGACAGTGGGTCACCTTTGAGCAAGGGTCAGGAGGAGATCAAGGGCCTCACGGCCTCCTTGAACATCTAAGCATCTGCGTTTGCGCCTCAGTTCGTTGAGCGAGAGGATCCGCGTAACAGGCGATGATCTGCCACGGACACGCCGAAGACGAAACTCTCTGTCCTCGGTTAAGCGGATCATTTTTCTGTTCTGGCTTCAGTTAGAGCCTGAAAGAAAACATGCAGGGGGGCTGGCCTTTTGGCGGTAATGAAGTTTTATCTTTTTTTTTTTTTTGAGCTGAAACCAATTCTTCTCGAGCCTGTGAAAACTAGACTCTGCTTTTACTCCCTGAGGTTCCCCATTTCAAGAGCTCAGGCGACACCTCTGAGAATCGCTAGCCATGCTGGCTAGTACGTCTGGCGGGGGGAGCCCCTCCCAAAGTCTACGAACCCAGTCTAGCGGCTGTGTTTCACGGAGAAAGGGCTGAGAGGGCCCAGCTGTCTAAACCGAAATGTTGCATTTCTGGAGTCGTTCACCTTTCTAGATTTTTTTAAAAAATCATCTTTTTGTTTTTATCCCACCCTGTCTGTCCTCCAAGTTGCTCAGGGCAGTGTGCATCGGCCTGTCTCCTAGTTTTAGCCTTCCAACAGTCCTGCGGGGTAGGCCGGCAGGAGCGATGGGGAGGGGACTTAAGGTCCGCCGGGGTCTTCCACGGTTGAGGGGGCTGGTGGCTTCCAACACCTTCCGCCTGGCGAGTTCAGAAAGCTCTCTTCCCAGACGACCTGTCCCCAAATCCCCGAGCCTGCAGCCAGGCTGCTTGGGACCTTTTTGTGTGCTCTCTGCTGGTTGATGGTTGACCAAACCGAGTGATCGTCCTGCCCCCCACAACCCCCCCAATCTTTTCCAAGCCTGTTTTGCCATGGGTGACTCTTAAATCTTTTTTAAAAAATTCTTCCTCCCCCCCCATCCCTCTCTCTCTCTCTCTCTCTCTTCTTTTACAGAACCGAAATACCCAGCCGGTTTTTTTTTCTTTTTCTTTTTACACAAGAAAATGAAGTAAAGCAACTTGAAAAGCGTCCCACGAGAAGTGGACTTCGACCGCTGCGTAGAGCCTTGTCTTATTTATGATCTTTTTGACCCTTCAGGAATAAGCAGAGAACTGAAGACCGTCGTCTTTCACAGAAAACTCCTGATGCCTTTATTCCCCCTCCCCGCCACTCTCCGAAATGTCTGACTTCTTACAGTCAGGAGCTGTTGGCTTCCGTTCTCGAACATAAGGTGTTTTTTTTTTATTTTATTTTTTTGCCGCGTGGGCAGACCAATACTCTGTTGTACTTGAAAGTTTTCTTCCCCTTTCCCCCCCCTCTCTTTTCTTGATGTCGAGGCTTTAAAGCTGTTCAGGAGTAGATTTAAAAACAAAAACAAAACCCCTTAAAGGAAAATGAATCCTAATTGTTAAAAGTTAACGCTCAGTTATACCGATTGGGGATAATGGTCTTTTTTTTTTCCCAAGCTGCCCTCAGATCTCTGGGCTGGGCTCCCAGGGGGACGGCCAAAGTGTCCCCCTTGGAATAGCAGGGCCTTCTTAGCCAACTGATTTTAATCAAGCCTCTAGTCCTCATGATGCTCCAGGTTTGGGTTGTGTTTCTCTTTTTAGAAATGAAGACTTTCATCTTTTGTTCTCCCCCCCCCCCAAAAAAAAAGAACTGATGATGTGTGTATGGCACCTTATGAAACAGGTTTCTTTCCAAGCCATCACTGGGGGGTAATGTGGGTTTTTGGTCTCATATCCATGGCGCCCCCCACTACCTGTGCTTAAGTTTTGCTGGTGGTCCTTGTGACGAGGAGGGGGTCGCTTGATTCGGCGTGAGGCCAGTCAGGATGGGGGTCTTGGGGAATTTGAGGAGTCCAGGTCCGGCGACGAGGAGCCCGAC